GTACGAGCATATGTAGTAGAAACGCTCAATGTTCAGGATAAAAGTGTTCTCACAATGCGTAAAATGAATAAAAACACATCATCGCACCCATTCACACTTTGCATCTCCGAAGGAAAACGTTACTAGAAGAGTGTTTTGAAAGGTCAAATATGTCCGCCAAAATATTCGTCCATAAATTAAGGCGTAGGGAATTAAGCATACAAGTGACAATTGCTTAACTTCAAACCTACCAAATAAGTAAAACTAAGACTCTAAAAAACCAAATGGATGAAGTAGTTATGAAAATCGGAAAGATTAAAGGACAAGGATGCATCAAACTGCTCTACACATATTCAGCAAATGAAGAATAAGATGCAAAACAAAGAAATCACAGGACCTGAACCTGTCCATGAAAGATTGGGGGGGGAGGGGGAGGGGCGGGCGAGACGTACCATTGCACTATTCATTCGAGCAAGCTTGTAGCTTCAGTTCATCTAGACAAACATACAAGTGAAATCGAGCAATGCGTGCAGCTTCCTGCAAAATGTCGTTCAGCAGATGTGAAGAACTGATTGGGATACACTTTTGATCAAAAATCTTATGGTATACATCTCTTTCCGGATTGTCACTGCGACCCCGCACCGTTCCCCTGTAAGAGATGTCGATCTTGGAAGTTCGTGGTGGTCGAATATAGGCTTCATTTCAACTTCTTTGTCTTATTCACTAGAAAATAGAAACTTAGACAATTTATCTTTAACAGAGCCAGGTCATTAGGCAACCAAATAGTTGCAGTGTTTTTAAAGAGAAAAATGCACTTTACCTTTATCGCGGAGTTGCTAGTTATCTCTCAATGTTTGCAAAGTTTAAGCGAAAAATGATATTGCGTCTCTAATTATTAGCTAAAGGCCTATGAGTTAATGCAAATGCTCGTTATCGCTCTGTTGTATCTCAAAATATAATTTCGATTTAGACATAGTAGCAGCAACCTCTGCTGCGCCTAATTCAACTATTACCACCCTCCAACTCATCACGCTGTCAAACACCATTCTCAAATCGTCAACTACGACAGAGCGAATCCCTCCTTCGACAATCGTCGATGAAAAAGGAACTAGTGAGGGTCCCGAAGATACTGCGAGATCCAATTCTGCTTTACATATAGACGAAGATTCAAGGAGCACCACCACGGCAGAACATCTCCAAAGAGCTCCTTCGTTAACTACAAGTCTTTCCGAATCATTGGTGCAATCGGGTAGTACTTTTGTTGAAAACGACACAGAGAATAGGATTGAAACGTCACTGAACGAGTCTGTGGACGCAACCTCATCAGAAGAAGACGCTGTAGAGATAATAGATGACGATCCGGCGTTCAACTATACTGTTTCGAGCAATTGCACATTGAATATGCGAAATCAGGTATGATATTGCTTCAAGAAAAATCAAGATCTACCTTTTGACTAGTTGAGTTTTGCCAACAAAAGGAAATAATTATATAGTACTACGTTCATTTGTTCTAGGCAAGAGTGTGTACAGAACCTTTAATGCGCACTTGGGTTGCACTGCGTGCAAGTTGGCCACATCTAGCAGAAGTGAGCTTATTCTCTTTTTTTTTGCCTTTACATAGCGCCCAACACAAAGCGATGTCAGTAAAATGAGATCAAAATATTCAGGTCACTTTCCCAATCTATAAATATTCTCGTGTAGAGCTGCTGGAACTGTGCGATAGGTACGCCAATGTGTTCTTATGTGCCAATATAGACGATATTCGAGTATGCATCATGGATGAGTTGGTTAGTTTTTTACAAAAATTCATATTAAAGCATGAGTGCACCATAGTTGTGATATTATGAGTTTATACTAATTGATCAAAATAAATACAGCGTTTAATCGGTCGTATTTCACCTCCTAATTTATTTTCTTTACCTTACTTAAGGGAGATGGGACTCGCATATCTTTCCGATAAAAGATGGAATTAATCACAAAGATATTGTATCTATACCACCCTCTTCAGTACCTGAGGAATTCCCATTATCTTCCAGAGTATAATATCCTATTTGCTGAAATACGCGACGCATTTAAGCCGACATTTCGGTAAACTTCTTTCGGAGATGAAGGACATCGCCTACACAAAGTACATGTGGAGCAGCTAAGCTTCTACCTTCAAAAGGAAAGCATCTCCTCTGTGGAAATCCTCAAAATTATTCTCCCACGAGAAAGGCGACAGGAGGGTCTCTAGAACTTCCAATATGCCCGCTGAAAGTGGGTTTTGGGGATTATCGAGATGTACCGAGAGTACAGCCTACGTCTCGTCCTACTTTCATCGACTATGAGAAAGCGTTTGACAGCGTCAAGACTAACGCCATACTATCACTAATTGTTGGCCAAAGGGCGGGCTACTTATACGGAGGACATTGGCCGACTGCTGTAAGAACTACAATCGTACAGCTTTTTCATCGTTTAATTAGCGT